CTTATTTTAAGACCATGAGTATCGGTCCAGCCGGGACTCGAACCCTCGACCTCCCGCACAACACAATCCGGCGCTCTAACCAATTGAGCTAACCGGGAGGCGGTCGACAGAGACAGTGAAACTAATAGAGACCATAGTTATGATAATAAAAGGCGATAAGATAGTAACAATGACTGTAGCAATAATGCTAATGCAAATGACACCTCTAGTCTTCTTTGCATAATGAAATCACGGCCTGATTTTTCTGTTGCTCTCAATTTCGACTTACTGACCTGAGAATATCTCTTTCAACATAAATTAGTCATTTATTCATAAGGCACATAAAGACGGAAGGAGCATAACAGTATAGGTCGCGGACGTACTCTTTGAAATACCCATTCGGTCTCCGTAATTATCAGCTTTTGGAACAAAGCCAAATGATAATTCGCGCTCTGATTGGCTTATATTTCATGAAAAAGAAATGAGTGTTTCATAGAGATGGCGCAGGCTGACGTCATTCTCGGTGAAATATTAGCGTCGAGTTAAGCCTCGAGGTTTTAAACTTTTAAGATTGTTTTTCCGTTATATCACGAATGAGAAAGACCTTTTAGAACTCAAAACGAAAACAAAATATGCTAAACAATACTCGTTTCGTAAAACGACGAGCGTGTAGCTGTTTAAAGCGACGAAACTAGTTTTGGAGTTGACGACACTTCATTGGCATGCGCGATGCGAATTATGCATGGCTGAAAACAAAACTGAGTTTTCTGCCTTAAACTGAGGCTTTGCCACTTTGGGAACTCTTCATTCCAAAGGTAATTGATTTGAAGGGATGATGTATCCGAAAAGTGGTCTTTTGATAACTTTCGATCCAAAGCCACGCAATTTGTGGTCGTAAATTCTAGTAAACAGCAATTCGAGGAGGGTAAACCGACTCACGGGTTTTGTAAATGCAAGAAATTTGTAAATTTTTTTGCTTCGTTTTTAGAACGGTTGATAACATTTTTAAAGTGCTACTGCGACGAAATTTTTGCATTTTATTTTCCCAATTTTCTGGTGTTAACTTCACATTTAGACCCTAAACTGTAAGAGTAAGTGTAAGTTTCTCAAATTTGACAACGTTATTCCTTAAAAACAGCGCCGCGAAGGCATTAAAAATTCTTCCGCCATTGCTCGAATAACACACTGGAGAGCCCGCGAAAATAACTACAGCGGTTTTAGTTGTGACGTCATCGACTCACTTCGACAACGTCGCGAAGGCATGCCTTTACAAGAAATACGCAAAAGAAAGCTGGGGAACAATTCTTTCGAATTTTATTCCTTCTTTCCTGCGGAACCAGAAAAATAACTCTCTCTCGGCATACCAAATTAGCCACGTTTGTTGAGTCGTTGACCTCACTTCCGTTCTCGACCCAGTTTCTTCTTCGCGCGGAGTTCTGTAGTTCGAAGAACGGCGGCCGTTTAGATCGCGAATCTACAGCGAATCTACAGGGAAAATAATATTACTTCTCGATGGAGTTTTGCCTTAAGATTTGGCAAATTTGTTACTTAGGGTAAGTTCTTTCAACCTCTGAGAAGAAAAGGAAAGGTGCATTTTTGGTCGCTGTAGCACTTTAATTGTTGATATTTCCGAAAAGTGTTGTTCAATTGAAGATTTTAATTTTAATTAAAATCGTGCAATTTCCGAATTTTCAAAATCTACAACAAGCCTGTGCAATTTTCTGTCCGTGAATTCTAGTAAACAACAATTCAAGCATGCTGAGCCCCATTATACTGTTTCGTATACGCAAGTAAACAACGATTGAAGCATGCTTAGTTTACTAAATTGTTCCATACACACAAGAAATTCTATGATATTTCGTTTTTCGCTTCTGAACAGAAAATATACTATTCTCTGAAATATTCAGTGATCGTTTTTTCCTTGTCATGGTTTTCATAGTTTACAGGTGGAGCACGATTAACTGTAAACCCTACAGAATTGTAATGAACTATTTTCCTTTGTGCACAACTTGCGTCTGCATTCTATGTTAGAAAAGAATTGGTTTATGCTTTAGCTGTGCGTATATCGAGTTATGGATGCTCTCGGAAAATTTGGAAAGGACTGACGAAGCCAGGGTTGCTCTCGGCTGCGCCTCGAACAGCTCTACTTGCGCTTCTCTCGTGAATCCATAATCGATATACCCATGCCAAGTATAATGAACCAACTCTTTAATTTTTCGATTCGGAAGTAGAAAGGATAACTCGATTTCTTGTAGACAGCTCCTTTATCGCTGTTTTTGGCCCTTTTGACCTATCCTCAATAAGTTTTATTTGAGCTTCATCTTAACTCATCATTTCGTTTATGTTCCTAACGTTCCATAAGTCATTAATGCCGTCGTAAGTTAGTGCTTCTTTAAATGGAAGCCTATATAATTTAGTTATCTATGGGCGCGAAACAGTTATATCATCATAATGTAAATATAATACCCTTGAAACTTATTATTTACATATGCTCCTCAGGTATCGAGGATATTGATGGATTCATAAAAAACCCTGGAGAGACGAGGGATGATAAAGGTCAGTAACGGTATTTTAAAGAAAGAGCAAATTTGCTGTTAAAAATTTTCGAATGAAAAACTCGAACTTTCTAATTGAATGCCCTCATTTAACTGTTCAAACAAAGATGCCTCCGTCTCCTCCCCTCTTCCGATTTGCTATTCTTTGAGTCACTTAGGAAATAATGTCGTTTTAAAGTGTTAGTGTAACGTTGGACGGGTTAATCGACTAAAATCGTAGATATCTGGTGGGTCTGATATCGCTGATTCATGGAAAAAAAAAATCCTTAAAAATAAGTTGAACTATTATCGTGCAAAGAAAATATCCTTATAATTCATTATTTTCATATGTTTGTCAGGTGTGGAAGATTCTATTAAATCCATGACAAACCTTAGAGTGAGGATGCCTGATGAAGGTCAGAAAACGTTACTTAAAAGAAAGAGAAAATTTGATTTAAAATATTTTCCAGGTAGAAACTCGGAAACTTTCCAATGGAATGTCCTCAGGTGACTGCCCTCATCTCCTTCCCTCTCCCCTTTTGCTATTGTTTGCGTTATTTAGGAAAAGAGGTCGTTTTGAAGTGCTAGTTTAAAGTTGGACCGGTTAATCAACTGAAATCGTCGGCCGGTATTTGGTGGGCTTGATATCGGTGATTCATGAGATTAAAAAAATACCTTGAAATAAACCAGCTTGCCTGTTTCGCTATTTCCTATCCAGATCATTGGCCCTAAGGGAAAATGCTCCTGACGATTACAGTTTTTGTTACTAATTTTTGTCATCGCACTGCTACATGAGTTTTTAAGGGATGAGGGTAAATGCCGTGGGGAATTATAAACAATATGTTTACTTAAATTGCATCGATTCACCTGACACGAGTCTTGTTATATGACGTCACTTGAGATACTGAGCGACTTTTGGTATAGAGTAATCCCATAAGTAGAGGACTCTGTTCGAAAAATAGATGCCAACGTCCCCGCGGTGTCTGCTTACATTCGTAGACAGTGAGTGCCACGGTCGTCTACAAAAGTTGGATTCCTCCCTTTCGTTTCTTCTTGGGGGTAAGGGTAGGGCTACACGTTGGCTTATTTGGTTGCAGTTAACGATAAACTTCAAAGTCGTTCCACGGGAAGTTAATTAACGTAGTCAGTAACAGTTGTAGTCGAAGGGGACAAAGTGAACATTCTTGGCAACTTTCCCCTAATTATTTGCATTTAAGCCGACGCAGTCGCAAATTTGTCTGGATCGTCTGGTTCCACTGGACCACCTGCAAGACCGTCTGGGTCAACCGAACCGCCTATCGCTACATCCGCTGGTCCTTCTAGTTCGTCTTCTGGAACGTCTTTCTCTTCTCCGCCTCAGGTGTTCTTGTCGTATAACTGGGATATACAGCTTAAAGTAGCACAGCTGAAGGAAAGACTCGAGCAGAGGGGAATAACTTGCTGGATGGATAGACCGAACGTTGGCCTTGGAGACGAATTGAGAGGAACTATTGCACATGGCATAACAAATTGCAAGGTACAGATAACATTTTCTAAAGTCTCAGGGCCAAACTATCGGGAGAGAAGTGTAAAAGAATAAAAACCAACAGACTCGTAAGTTCAACTACTACGCGGAGCACGAGACATTCCGGAAAATGTGACCTACTGTTAAAAATACATATCTGACCGCCACCCAGTTAACCCAAATGGATAGTGCGCTGGACTGTTGTGCGGGAGGTCGAGGGTTCGGGCCCCGGCCGGACCAACACTCAAGGTCTTAAAATAATTGAAAAGAATTTGCTGCCTTTCTATAACATCAAGAAAAGGTTAGATATTCTAGTCTTCTCGGATAGGGACGAATAAATGGAGGTCCTGTCTCCTGCAGGGTTGGGGTAGGATACGTTAATTTCCCACACACGAGATTACTGTGTGATGGATGCTCTCCCTTGG